TTGGCATTGTCCAAATTGAATTTATGTCCAAAATGCCAACAATGTGCTACAATTAATGGTTTATTGTATTCTTGATAATGGACACATCTATATTGTTCATTAAGACTTAATTTTAAATTGATTTGTTCAATTAAATTTCAAAGTGGTAAGTAAATACTCCTGTGATTCTCCATACCTATAGGATCTTTGAGATTTAAATTTAATTTTGATAACATCTTTGAAAATGTCTTTTAAAGCAAACGGGATAGGATATTAGGAATTTGGCAGTAAACATTAGAGTAACATATTCCCAGTAAGGATTTGAAGAAGAAAGGCATTCGGGTCTAGTGAGTTAAGCAAGAGCTGAATCAATTTTAGAAAAGTTAGATCCACGCCTAGCAGTAAGTGAACAGAGGATGTTGACTTTGAAGTTTAAAAAAGAAGAGTCAAAGCAAGGGTTAAGTGCGAGGAAGACTAAAGTATGAACAGGAATTCTCTGACCATAGTGTGAATAGAATTAACTCAAGGGGGTAAAGATATACCGAAATGTTTGCGATAAATAGAGGTAGAAAAATGATCAGAGTGTTTAATTACAAGAACAACTGAAAAAGCTAGAATAATATTTATTTCCATATCTAAGGTGAATTGAATGTTGGGGATTAATCTAGTTGATGACTAAGACAAACATATTATCACCATATCTTTTACCCCATGAAAATTTGAACATTTTAAGAGCATTTTCTTTAAATTAATGCATGAAATGTCAGAAAGTATGGGAGGAAAGCAATTTGGTGGGAAATAAATGATTAAAAGCTAAGTATATATAGGAAAAAAATATTCAAGCATATGAGTTAAAATTATTTTAGTAAATCTATATTTAAAAGAAAATGTTTTTAAGATCAGCTCTTAACAACTAAAAACTTGCTAAAGAATTTCTCATTTGATGGAAGAAGAGAATTTTCATTTAGCATCTTTGACAATGTGTTGAATCTAGTTTTTGTTTAATTTCTTCTACTTGCTTTGTTATTATTAATTTTTTTCCTTGCTAATGTAATTAGTTTACTTTGATAATTGTGGTATAAAACTTAGCCTATTGACTTTCTTTGTTTGTTAAAATAATGCTTGTAAAGTTATATTTTTTAAAAAGTTTTTATATCTCTTAAACAGGCAGGGAGGGTTTCTATTTAATAGAATTATCTTATCATGTTATAGAATTATTTTATCATAATTTATTTATTTATTTAGTAACGAAATATTTTGAATTCTTATGCTTTATTTTATTTATTAAAGTATGTTTTATTGAACCTAGTTACCAAATTTTCAAGTAAAAACTATTTTTTAAATTTGACAAACACTCGTTGAAAATTATGTCTTATAATTCTTTTTCGCATCTTTTTTGTTTTTATAACAAAAATTGTTTTTATTCATTTTCTTTTGAATCAAATTTTTAATTTTTTTATTACATTCAGACAGAAAAAGAACTTTACTTCCTCCATATTCACTTTTGACGAATCATCTATCAGTAATTTATTTATTTATTCATTTGTTAGCTAATGTTTTTGAATGTTTTTCGTGTTTAATTTCATTAGTTGAAATACGTTCTATTAAACTTAGTTACAAGTTTTACATTTTAATATTGCACTAAGTATTTTTAAGAATTCTTTTGACCTTTAAGTTTAAAATTCGGTACTAAATTCAACATAACTCATTTTAATGAATATTGTTAAACAAAAATTATTCAAAAATTTTTATTATTGACTGAATAAATAAAGAAATTATAGGCACACAATTCTCTGCAAGTCAACAAAAAGTTAGAAAAATCCTTTTTCTGCCTGAACTTATACTTAGTGTCATAAGTGCTTATGAGGTGGTGGAATATTTTTTAAACATTTTGTATTTTTTTAAATTAGGCGAAAAAAGTCAAGCGTGATGATGAATCTATCTCAAATGAAGTTGTTGCACAAGCTCACATTGAAAATTATGCCTTGAAACTTTTCCTATTTGCAGATAACGAAGATCGTTCAGGGCGATTCAACAAGTAATTAATTTAAATAACAATTATTTTAAATACTTTGATTGCGTAGATTATAAGAGTAAAACAAATTTTTTTTTTTGTATTATCAGGAATGTTGTAAAAGCTTTCTACACCTCTGGTTTTATCTATGATATTGTGAGTACTTTTGGTGAGCCAAGTGATGAAGTACGTATTAAAGTTTGTTTATGCATTGAAAGAAAGAAAAAATTTTAATTTTCCGAATTTTATAACCTATTATTCGCCTATTTTTGTCTAAGCATTAAATGCTATTATATTTCTAATATTCCTTTTATTAGTTGAGTTTTCTAATTAAAGCTTAGTTACAAGTGATGGCATATGATATTAATTGCTTATTTCTTTATGATATATTTAAAATTAATCTAATTAAATTTTCACTTCTAGTTTTTTCTGAATTCAAGTTTTTCATTGGGGGCTAGGTATAATATGGTCAATGTTAACCTCCATATATGAAAAAGTACCTCATTATAGAATAGAGTTAACATGTTTTATATAGAATTGGAATTGAATAATTGTAGTGGTAGACAGGCTACAGTAATCCCCCACCAGAATTTTATCTGTAATAGAATTCGATGAACAGATACCACTAGTGAATTCATTGCTGTTTTGTAAGAAGCCGGGTGAGCTGAATTAAGATCACCGGATTTTTGAATGCTGGTTGTGAGAACTGTATTAAGATCATGGTTGTGTGCATGGTCGCTCCAGTGTTGTTATTAGCAGTCGCGTGTGAACAGGCTTTGTTGTGTGTGATGGAGACTGAGGAGCAATGCATGCATGGACTATGTCTTAGTTACAAATAGTAAGTTAACTGTTCAATGTGAACTATCAATAGAAGTGGGTGTGTTCAAATCAAAGTGGGCGTGTTCAGATCACATCTGCTTAGTTACCAATGTGGGGAGAATGTTACTGATAATATTAACCATCATCTATCAAAAGGTACCTAAAGATAGAATCGAGTTATTACTGTACTAGTGAATCAAGTTATTATTTACTACTGAATTGGAATTGAATAATTGTAGTGGTAGCCACACTTCAGTATTAAGAAAGATTAGTATTTAATAACTCAAAAATATATAAACTAACCGCGAAATAGTTTTTACATTATAAGAATTTTAACAATATTTTAAAGCTTCCTTTTGATTGAACAGGATGCAAAATTTATGATTCATTAGGTGTAGCATTAATTTTGTTCATGAATTTTTATGTGAATGTTTTCAACAGACATCATAATCAGAGTTGAGCACTGAAATATAATTTTCCCTAATTCTGTTTATATGTGCTAATATTTGGGCAAATATAACATTTTCAGCTATAAAATTGTGCATGGTAGTAGATTTTGGCATTATTTTGTGCATTTTAAAACCAATTTTCCAAATTAATAAAAGAAAAAAAATCCAATATTGCTACAAAAAAATATGGAGACTATTTTTGGAGAAATGTAGGTGGTTTTAACGTTTAATGATATTTAATATTATCGTATGAAGTATTATAAAGTATAAATTTTTCCATATTATACTTTTTAAATATTATAATTGTTTTTAAAAATTGCAACAATTAATAACAGTGTAAGTATTAAATATTTATTCAATTTAAAAAAAAAATTAATTTAGGTTTTGCATCATAAGAAATATGCTAAGTGGAAGGCAGCTTATATACATAATTGTTTGAAGAATGGAGTTACACCCGTGGCAGGGCCTCTGGCTATGGAAGGAGATGAAAGTATAAAAAATTTTGTTGTTGTTTATACGCTAGTTCTCTAAACATTCA